TGCAGAGCTTTACTGGCATTTGTTTGGATGACAAACGTCCAATCTCATGGACTGCAGGCTTTAAACTAGGTGAAATGCTCCAGAAGTTAAAAAAGGGGGCTGACATGTGATGTCCATTGTAATGGACACAGGGTCTGAAAGGGCTAAGCGACTGGAGAATATAGGCCTACTTCAGGTGGGATTTAGCTTCTTATGTTCCAGGTTATACCAACTTTTTGAATTTATCAAATAATCAACCCTAATAGGCTTTAAAATATAGAATAACATGTCTATAAACGTGCCATAGCCTACATACATGTGTCAAGGGGAATATAAAACTTTGCCTTCCATTGTTCATAACACCATAACCTTACTTAAATATTTACCATGGTAATGGTTCTGCCAGGACACCACAGACACTGTTAGTGTTACAAATAAATAAAATGATAAACAAGACTGTCATCAAAAATATATTTGTGTGATGTGCAAATTAGCCTAAACCACATGTATAAAAGCAGACGTGAAAATGTTCGTTTACCACGAATTAACTTCCGACTAAGAAAGCTATGTAAAAATTTTTGCCAAAGATTGACTGATTTCACTGAAATTATGCTGTTGTTGAAGTATTGTGATTAAACGTAAAACTCGAACCAAACAGATAAGAACGATTTAAGAAAGCAAACCAAACAGATAAGAAATATAGTTTTATTGGAGACGCACAATCACAACAACCTTGACGTCATTGAATTTAGCATCACACCTATCCGTGACTTCTCTTATAAAATAATAAATAACATTTTTTGACGGTGTAAAAAATACCAATCTAAAACGAATGTTTAAAAGCAAACATGTTGAAGATTAGCTGTTTCCCATAAAAAGCAGTTTATTCAGCGTAGCGAAGCATCTTCTCTTGTTTACTTCCGGGTTTTTGTTTCTCTGATTTCTTTTGTTTTTTTTTTTCAACCTTGCCTGCTTGCCTTTAAGTGACTTTGGATAGGATATTATTATTAGGAGATCAAAATTGATAAAATAATTGTGCGTTGTCATCCTTGTCATAACCTCGTACGGCCGACAGGTGGCAGTGAAACCAAGTCAGCGACACTAACATTACTGACCTCTAGACTAGAGAGCGGATGAATCATTCATGACCATAGATAAAAATAATAACAATAATTACGAAACAAATGTTCTTTGATCTTCTGAGACGTGATAATTGTACAGTACAATCTATGGGCTACTCTTTAAAAACGCACGTATTCGTTGAACTCCTCAAACTTGACAGTCGTGAAGCATTTTGTGCAAAAAAGAAAAACCTAACTTACGCAAACGGACGTTTAATACGTTTTATACGTTTAAGTTGAAGGGGAATGTAGGATACAATAAAGGATAAAATATTTATTTACATATATTTATTTACTTATTTACAATGTCCAGATCACTGCTCAACACAGTTGTAACGTGGTAAGAGTTACGTTTATCCACGATGAACCAGGTCAGCCAATCATATGCGTGATACGTGTTAATTTACTCATCGATGATTGAGATGAGCCAATCATATGCGTTTGCTCATATTAGAGCTTCCTCCATTATAACAACATAATCGTGTTGCCCAAAGAAACAATCAAGTTGCACTAATACAACAAAAGAGCACCGGAGTATCAACACAATAGGAATATTTATTGATATTTTCAACAGCAATGATGACAAACTTTTGTCATACACACTCCACACATACAGAATAACCAGCTCTAGAGTGATTCAGTCATCTAAAATATAAGAAATCACTGCGGATATATCACAAGTTAGGTCTAACAGTTGTTGTTTTTTTCCACACAAACCAGGTTTAAAAACAAAACAATATTTAACAACCGCATTTTGGGAACAGTACAGTACTAATATAAAATCTTTATATTAGTATTTACACATGTAGCTTACCGCCAAAGAAAACTAAAATAAACATTATTATGTTCCTACATGAGTTACTCTAGTAGGGGTAATGCAAATATGTAGTGTTAATGATACAATTATGACAATTTAAATGCAAACAAAGAGGTTTACGTGTTCTAAAGATAAAGTACCCATGTTTTATTTGTTTGTTTTTTTGGACATGGTAGATGAACAGGTATCGTTATCATCTGGAACTGAACTATAGCACAAGTACTGTTTTTCTATAGCCTGTTTAGATGTTTTTCACTCCTTTTTTTGAGCTTGTATTTAAAAAAAAGCAGTTGTTATGCATGCTGTACACCTGAAATGCAGCGATTATAAAACTACTGAATACTCTTTTGCAGAAGAGTGATTCCAGATATATAGCCCTATGCATGCTCTAACTGAAGAGATTTACACACAAACACAAATAAAAAACACAGAGATGACTTGCAACAAGATACACGTTTACTTTTCTCCATACTAGTATACACACCGACACACACATACTCGCACACCTATATGTAACTCCACAGTATTTTTGTGTTTTTACAGTATTTAGTATTTTGTCAGCACAAAGATAGTTTAACACAGAAGGTGAGGCAGAGCGATCATCCACATATGGGATAAGATAGTGTGCAAAATCAGCATGGCACATCGAGACGCTCCACACACACACATACTCACACACACAGTCATTCAACTATATACAAGAGATAGGGATTCGAAATATTGCACTTGCTGGCCCACTGCGCCCCACATACTGAGGGACGCATAAATGAACAAATAAATAAGATTATAGAGATACAGGTATCTAAATAGAGATGTTGTACAGATTCATGCAGGGACGATGCTAAACGTGGCATGTGGTGGGGAAACCAAGAACTGATTTTCTAGATTCTGAGGACACATCAATGAACTATTAGTAATATAGGTACCGGCATATTCAGCCTACAGTACATCTGTGACCATGATATATTCTTAATAACGCCGGATATGGTCGGCCTAATGTTTTATATGTACTACACTCACAAGACCACACATATAAACAGACCACACCATGTAGTTTTCTCATTTAAGGGCTATGTGTTTTCCGTTTTACCTTAATTCTACCTAGATTATTATTATACATCACAATGGAAGTTGGAAGTTGGAACATGTCCAGGTCATATTTCAGCCCGAAATGAAATAAAATGGAGTGATTAGAATTATATTATACATAAAGAGAATGACGCCTATTTTTAGGACAAATTATTTTTTAGATGGATAGATGAAAATGTTTATTTATGCAAAGAATACATTTGATTTTGAGATGAAATATGCGCCAGGTATTGCCAGATTTCGAGACGTTCGCCCCAGATCTGCTCTTCCTCAGAAACACAGTAGGCTCGTTATATTTCTGACATTTAAAAATATGCGTCCACGGCCAAAGTCATGTAAGGTTCGTGGGATGAAATATTGATGCACTTCTGAAAATAGCTGCACATTTCCTTGGCTATCACTGCATCATTTTACAAGACGAGCTCAGATTCCTTCTAACGTCTAACATCACCGAATCTTCTCTGGCCGAGAGCAGAAAACTAGATAAGAAAGCAGCCAATCACGTCCTGCACACGCAAGCAGAGACAGAGCCGACGGACAGCGATAAAACACACGAGAGAAATGTTGAAAAAAGGGCTTGGGGGGAAAAACACAAACTCCACTTCATCTAGAAGAACGTTTGGTTTTCAGACACACACCGCTCAAGAAGCAAATCGTTTACTTTTCTTTTGAATAAATAGATAAATAAATATCTCATTTCATCAAGTCATTTACAATGATCGAAGGAAATGCCTAGAAACATTTAATGCACATCTTTTTCCCTGTAGAGAAAAGCTACTTGAATCCACAACAATATATGTATCTGACCGAGGTATATACAAACCTATGTACACTAGATATATCATGTATTCATAGAGGTGACTTTAATATTCTTTAATAATCTATGGCGTTTGACACACACTCACACACACAGCTGATGTCATAGCCGCTGCTCGATGGGAGATTTCAATTTCAACTCAATTAATATGGCATGAATTCCTGATCCACAAAAACAAGGAGTCGAGTGCGACGTGTGTAATGCAGCGCCTGGTCGTCTGCTAAGCCCCGCCTTTAAAAAGAATTCTGACCAATCCCACCTTAACAAGGAAGTCCTATGTGGTGACATTTTTTAACATTTAAAATGTGTAAATTTTAAATGTTTATTAGCAAAATTAACCAATGCAGCTTATCACATCAAATCAGTCTTTGAAAACTTTCCTGAGAAGTAATTTCAGTAAAGCTGTGTCTCTCTTCATCTTGCTTCTGGATTTAAAGGAGTAGTTCACTTAAAAAAAAAAAAAAACTTTTGCTGATAATTTACTCACCCCCATGTCATCCAAGATGTCCATGTCTTTCTTTCTTCAGTCGAAAAGAAATGAAGGTTTTTGATGAAAACACTCCAGGATTTTTCTCCATATAATGGACTTCAATGGGAACCAAACGGTTCAAGGTCCAAATGAGAGTTACATTGAAGGGCTTTAAACAACACCAGATGATGAATAAGGGTCTTATCTAGGACCCTTCGAGTCCTGACTCAAAAAAAGATTCATTCAATTTGATGAACGAGTTCAAACAGGAGAGTCACGAACGCGCATCACAGAACAGAGCAAGGCGAGCATTTGTGCTTATAAAACTTAAACTTTGTTATTTATTTATTAAATGGCTGATGGTTTCGCTTGATAAGACCCTTATTCATCGTCTGGTATCGTTTAAAGCCCTTTGAAGCTGCACTGAAACTCTCATTTGGACCTTGAACCATTTGGTTCCCATTGAAGTCCATTATATGGAAAAAAATCCTGGAATGTTTTCATAAAAAAAAACCCCTTAATTTCTTTTCGACTGAAGAAAGAAAGACATGGATATCTTGGATGACATGGGGGTGAGTAAAGAGATCTCAACAGATCTCATTCCCCATTGACTACCATATGGTAGTCAATGGGGAATGAGATCTGTTTGATTAAAACATTCTTCCAAATATCTTCCTTTGTATTCAGCAGAACAAATAAACACATAGAGGTTTGGAATAACATGAGGGTGAGTAAATACTGACAGAATTTTTATTTTTGGGTGAACTAACCCTTTAAGGGAACGTTCTATTTACGTTAAGAAAACTTTCCTGGATCACCAATCTTGGGCACGTTCTGGGAACAAAAACAAATGCTCCCAGAACGTTTAATTGTTAGCTGGGACCTAAACTTAAGTGCAAATATGATGATGAGATCAAAAGTGTCAAATGCACGCCTGAGCTTCTGTGTTGTTTAACTATATGCTCTTATGTGCATTGATTAGAGTTAAAAGAAAATCAATGTCTAGATTAGATTGCTTGAATGATGCACTCACCCGTCGATCTCTTAATGTCTTGTACCAGATGCTTTTTTGGCAAGGTTTGATGGCTCTTCATCAGCAAAGCAATTCTAAATTTCACCTCTTTATTAATTTGTTAACCCTTTAACCCTAGTTTAACCCTATTAACCCTAGTCTATCATGAAGGCTACATACAATTGTGATGAGAATGGCTTTTAAATGTTGAGACTATTGTTTTTGAAATCAGACTTTAAAAATCAGGACTTTAGCCAATATATATCGGTTATCGTTATCGGGAAAAATGTTCATATTTGGTGCATCCCTAATTACAATGTCTTCATAATTGTCTAAATATGTGACCAAAATATAAATAAAAAAATTCACACTGTTCCCAGAAATAAAAAGAGGGGCGGGGCTTAGCGAAGAGTCAGCCGATTCATGCTTGTGGACTAGGTCTAGACTAACAGCTGTAAAGGATGTTAAGACTTTGATTGACAGTTAAGAAAGCAGTGTGTCAGAATATGAACTAGGCACCTTAAAGATAGACGTGACTCTAGTGCAAAGGTGCTGGAACACACACAAGCGTTCACATGCATCAGACAGACTCCATCCTGTCATTTTAAGAAGAACACCCTCTAGTGGCGCAACAGACCGTGACAAGAACTTACACTGTTACCCACAAGCCACGTATACTGAAAAACCGATGACCAAAGAAATCATATTTATATATTTTTTTATCTATCCTCCTTTCTAAAACACTGAATAGCTTTGCCATCGCTCGAGACAGCTCTGTTCCCATTGGGTGTAAGGGTCACATGACTCCTGACATGCACCGATCAGATTCAGGTGGCTGTTCCAGCACCCGCATTCGATGACATTAAAGGATATATGCATCCATCTAAAGGTGTCTCCCACACACACACACACACACACACACACACACACACACTTATGCTACCATGTGTACTGAGCACTAACAGGCACAGTTAGGCTGCTGTAGTGGAGGAGGGTTATCTGTTAGCCGGGCCGTTCCCTGGGTTCCTGAGGTCACGGCGGGGTCAGTCTCTATACTCTCTGACATCTTGTCGCAGATTATGTCCACCAGACGCTCAAACGTCTGCTTCACGTTGATGTTGTCCTTGGCGCTCGTCTCGAAAAACTCAAAACCTGGTAGACAGAAATTACAACCAAATAACAGTAAAATATCAATAAATATATTGAATCCATAGAAATGTACTTTATAAATATAATTAATCATAATTCATGATAAATATATTTAATAAATAGCAATGTATTTAATAAATATATTAATAATTTAATTAGTAATTAAATATATGTATTAATCATTATTCATGATAAGTCAATTATAATTAATAGTTAATAGTACAATATCGCTTATTAATGATATTTTACATATTTTTTTGTAATTTATTAAATTGACAAATATATTTAATAAATAGCAATGTATTTTATAAATTTATATTAATAATTTAATTATAATTATATATATATATATATATATATATTAATAATAATTAATGATAATAGTCAATTATAATTAATAGTAAATAGTACATTATTGCTTAATAATATTTTATAAATTTTCTGTAATTTATTAAATTGATAAATATATTTAATAAATAGCATTGTATTTTCACACATTTATAATAATTTAATTAGTAATTAAATATATTTATTTATCATAATTCATGATAAGTCAATTATATTTAATAGTAAATAGCAAAATATTGCTTATTAATAATATATTACAAAGTTTTTTGTAATTTATTAAATTGATAAATATATTTAATAAATAGCAATGTATTTTATAAATATATTAGTTAATTTAATTAGTAATTATATATATATATATATAATATATTATATTAATCATAATTAATGATTAATATCAATTATAATTAATAGTAATAGTACATTATTGCTTATTAACAATATATTACATAATTTTTTATAATTATTAAATTAATAAATAGGCTATATTAATAAATAGCAATGTATTTTCATACATTTATAATAATTAAATGTAATTAAAATATAATTTATCATGATAATTAATGATAATAGTCAATTATAATTAATAGTAAATTGTACAATATTGCTTATTAATAATATTTTAAATAGTTTTTTGTAATTTGTTAAATTGATAAATATATCTAATAAACAGCAATGTATTTTATGCATTTATAATAATTTAATTAGTAATTAAATATACAGTATGTATTCTTCATAATTAAATTCATGATATTAGTTCATTATATTTACTAGTAAATAGTACAATATTGCTTATTAATAATAATAATAATAATAATATATTAATAATTATAAATATATAAAAATAATTAGTAATTAAATATATTTATTCAGCATAATTTATAATAATAGTTAATTATATTACAGTTTGATTATTATGCTACATTTTTCTTTGTTTATTCTTGGTTTGGATATTGCATACGTGTTGCTGTCTTTTTTTTTTAATCGTTTGAAATAAAGATTTCATTCATTCATTCAATTATATTTAAAGTATATTTTATAAGAGTATTTCATTGTTAGTAGCATGTAACCATCAAACTGTTCAATTGTAAGTCGAATCACGTGTGCAACTGGACTCTATTTTTGCACAAAGTTGCTGACTATGTAGTGTCTTAATTCTGCGACTCGGAGGTTTTGTGTGTATGTTGCCTCAGAAGTGAGTTGCCTATGTAGGCAGAATGTGCTCTTCTACAAATGGTGCCAATCCACGATGAGATGTAATTGCTGTGACCGTATGAAAGCGAGAGGGAATGTCCTCTCTCACGACACACACACACGCAGTAAGAAAGTCTATTTTCACCGCTCAGCGTTACTCTGAGATGTTTGCACATTCTGGTGTCATCCAATTATATGCGTTTAATTATCGCCTGAGTTCAAAAGCTGCAATTCCCTCCATATGCTCTAATTTATGCGCCGTAAACATATGCGTATGAGCCATCATAGGTATATATTATATTACAGTGCTTATATAGGAGCAAAAATGGCGCATTTCATGCATGGTGAGATTCATTTCCAGACATTTTGGAGTTTTGTAGCATTTTGTAGTAGTTCTACACCAATGGGTTGATGGCAAAGTTTACAAAAAGCAAAGGAAAATAAAATGTGATAAGTTGAAATGCAACCAAACACATAATGGTTCATAGTTAAAAAAGCACAATAAATAGACATTCAATTTTCAAAAAACTCCCATCTTTTGTTGCCGACGTCAGGTCGACTGGTTGTATCTGATCGACTAGTCGGTTCAAACCCTACTTCTAACCACAGATCGAGAGCTGTCGTTCCAAACACACAAGTCTCCGATGCTGTTTGCGAATGATGGTTTCGGGAAATGTGACTCGCTGAACTGCTGATAACGACGGATCTTGCGACCATAGCTGGCTAACGATGCTTTTGGGAAACACGCCAGGCAGGCTCCGCCGGTCCAGAAGTGTCCCTGAAGGAATCATACTTTTATAATTGTGGGATGAAGTTATGAAGAGTGAACTCACCCAACTGCTCTGCCAGCATCCTGCCGTTTTCCACAGACACCACTCTCTCCTCGTCCATGTCACACTTATTTCCCGCCAGGATGACCTGCGCGTTGTCCCAGGAGTACGTCTTTATCTGGGTTGACCTAGATAAAAACAACCAAGGATGTTACGATTCACTTCCACAATGCAATTACGCTCCACATTCAGTATAAACAACGTTCTGCATCGCGCATGGATTATTTCAACACTGCGTGATGATGCATTTCTGTATTGTACTGTATATGCAGGGCTCCATCTGCAAACATACACTTTTAAAAGTTATTCAGTATATTCTTTGTTAATTACTGTATTCACATTCACAGTAGGACTTATACATGCATCATTTCTTGTAAAATCTACAGTACTTCACTGCAATTTTAGTCAAGTTTTTACAATTGTACTGTGAAAGTTTACGGTATTGGAAAAAATACTGTAAACAAACAAAATCATACTGTATTGCTGCTAATTTGCTTTATAGTGCATATGTACAGCAAACAGTCTGTTCTGTCTTAATATAATTCAAATTATCATAGAAGTACACAGAAGTTTATAACCGAAGCATCAAAACAGAGCAAATCACCTTTTGAAAGCTTAAAATAAGGATTGTATAATAGATTACATGGTTACACCAGTAGGTGGAGTCAAGTGACTGTTAAAACATGTATTTGTCATTGAATCATTCATTTAAGAGGTTTGTTCAAAAACACTGAATCATTCAGTAATGCAACAAGTGAATGAGTGAATAAAAAAAAAATCTTTCAGATTAATTAAAGACGCAATTAACATTTTCCCAGAACCGCTAGTAAATTACATGTTACTTTGTTACATGTTACATTACTTTTCATATTTGGTGTTTTTTTTATTTTAATTATTAGATGTGATATTGTTTGATTATGTAAAGCAGTTTAGGCTGTATTTTATGTGTAAAAGGTGCTATATAAATATATTTAAATTCCTTGCAATTTTTTACAGTGTGCCGCCTAATTAAAACTAATGTTGTATACGTCTCAGTGTTTAAAGGCTTGTTTCGGTGCATGGCAACAGCAGACAGCTGGTGCACTCACTAAAGCCCACGACACATCACAGCGTTTGCTCATGTACGTCGCAGCGATAATGCGGAGACTGTAGGAAGTTGCTCTCGTGTTTCCCCAGCGTTTTCACATACATCTGGTTTAATTAGGTGTCAGTTCACTGACCGCAGCTGGAGTCTCTTGAGTTTCACCACATCATTTCAAGGAGTTAAACTACAGTCAAGCTACCCTTCGGAAAAAACTACATGACAAATTACTGACCAAAAATTGCTTTTTAAAGAGGTAAAATCTGCCGTTTTTACACTTGCACAATAAAAGTGGCAACCTGAAATTGTTACCTTAAAGAGCTATTTCTACATAATTTAACCTATAAAAATGTATTTTGTTGGTATTATTAAAAATGTATGTATTTCAGTTGATTCAGTGATATTCAATAATATTTTTGACTTAAAAAAAAAACTAATTAATTTTGATGTACTGGTAAACATTTTTAGGTTACTATTTCTTTCCAGTGTACATTTATGCATTTAGCAGAGGCTTTTATCCAAAACGACTTAGAAAATCATGTTGATGAGCCAACAATATTCATAATATAGAATGCCAGGCTAGTATAATATACATACTAGATTAGGAAATAAGCAGAAAACAAATTTAAAACTAAAACATTCAATTTTACTGTACAAAATAAAAATACTACATAGTGATAAACAGTAGTATTTCACTAAATATGTATTTACAAAATATTTAAATAATTTAAAATAAAAAATTGACTGGAAGCCGAAGAGTTTTTAATTTTAATAAATAAATAATAAATATTTATTTTTTTATTTATTATTTTTAACATTATATTATTATTAAATTAAGAGTATTCCTTTTTTGTTTTTGTTCTTCACCAGTTTACTGAATTGAAGCCACTTGTCAGGGCATTTTTTACATAATTTATTCATGTCTGACTTTGATAGTTGATTCGGATTCATTTACTTATTTGGATCTATAATTGCCATCTACTTTTATTTTACGGAAAATTCAGCATCAAGATTTACAGGTGACAGGATTTCTGAGTGAACTATTACTTTATGAAGATAACATCTGCTGATGAAGCAGTATAATTGCAAGTTCACCTCTCCAACTCTGTCCTTTCAATAAATGCAGGTCTCATTTCACATGCTTAATAAAGTACTAAAGCTCAGACATCAACATCGGTTTTGAGGTTGTAATGACTCGGCATATGACCCGAGTCGCCTTTCCTCCTTTCTACTCTTTCTGTTCCAGATCCTCAGCCTCTTATCCGGATGTTCATTAGTCTCTCGTCTCACGCTAATTAAATCAACCGCTGACCACAGCCGGACACCCAGCGGAGCGGATCAATAGAGCGGCGTCCGTAAACCCCTGAACGAGCCCTGCTGCCCTTTAATACTGAGGGAAATTTAAATGACTCTTGTTAAATATTAACCAGATGGATTCCTGAAGACTCAATGATGCTACTTTTCCTCTAAGGCCTCTTTAACTGCTCACAGAGGACTGATCAGTTTACATAATTCAAGTCAGACCCTATTTACTCTCTTAATAAAAGTCTTATCATCAATGAATCAGTGTAAGCGTGCATTCATAATATCCCATTAAAATGTTATAACTTTCACTGACACATAACACATACCAATACTTAAGAAAAACCTAGCAAAAACTGTTTTAATGACCTAATTCATTTAATCAAAACAAAAAAATGGTATTAATACAAATATAATAATATTAACTAATCCTATCATTACCTACTTTTCATGATTTACTCACTTAATTCAGTAAATCAATTATAATACTAGGTGTAAACAGGGCCCTGGTGTTTTAATCATCTCTTTTGTCCACTTTTAACCCCTTCTGTCCTGATTTCTTCCAGGGGAGGATCTATGTAAAATAAATGTATAGGCTTTTTCAGATCTTTAGATCTAATGGATAAAATAAGCTCACGCAATTAACACATGAACGCGACCTGAGACGACGGAAAACACACGGAGAGCAACAGCTTTAGTTTCTGCTCTGACAGCCGAACGAATCAGGAATGGAGAGAGAATATTGTGCTCGTGTTTTTCATCTTCAAACCAAACATCAGTCTTCAGCGGATAAAGTTTAAATCCCGTCTGGCTGGAGCTCTTCTCATAATGTTCACTCATTAAGACAGTAGACGGAGAGTATATGGCCTTTTGTGGCTGTTTGAACACATTTGAGCGTTTACACTATGAAAGCAATCTGTTCAAATGTGTTTTAAACTGCCTCTGGAACTGGTGGAAAGTGGACAAGCTCAAAACCTTTTAGACCCCTTTACACCTGTATTCAGCGTCGTCCACTTGTAATCTGAACGACCAAAACGCATCTCTGTAAACAAGGGCTTAGATGCAGATCCACTCATTAAAACTTCTGCTATTTTTATTTTTATACCAAACAATGAATAATTGAATTGCTATGATGATGATGTGTAAACTAGAGATATTTATGCTTCATTCAGAGCCGTCTCACTCACGGCATTTGTGTTGGTGGAACAATAACTTGCTTACAGTTCTCTTAAACACTGCAGATTTGTTCTGCTAACACACACACACACACACACACACACACAATCTGTTATGCAGAAATACTGCCTTCTGCTTCAAATCTCTGCATGTTCACTGCAAAATGCTGGCGCCATGTCAAGTGATCTTGTCTCCGATTGCATCTACACTACTCGTGGATCAGAGGTCTCGTATATCAGAGGTCTAGTGGATCACCAGAGGTCTCGTGGATCAGAGGTCTAGTGGATAAGAGGTCTATTGGATCAGAGGTCTCGTGGATCAGAGGTCTCGTGGATCAGAGGTCTCTTGGATCAGAGGTCTAGTGGGTCAGAGTTCTCGTTGATCACCAGAGGTCTCGTTGATCAGAGGTCTCATGGATCCACAGAGGTCTAATGGACCAGAGGTCTCGCTCTGGATCAGAGTTCTCGTGGATCGCCAGAGGTCTCGTGGATCAGAGGTCTCGTGGATCAGAGGTCTAGTGGATCACCAGAGGTCTCGTGGATCAGAGGTCTAGAGGATCACCAGAGGTCTCGTGGATCACCAGAGGTCTCTTGGATCAGAGGTCTAGAGGATCACCAGAGGTCTCGTGGATCACCAGAGGTCTCGTGGATCACCAGAGGTCTCGTGGATCAGAGGTTTTGTGGATTAGAGGTCTCGTGGATCAGATGTCTTGTGGATCAGTGGTTTCACGGATCCGAGGTCTCGTGGACCACCAGAGGTCTAATGGACCAGAGGTCTCGTGGATCACCAGAGGTCTCGTGGATCAGAGGTCTCGTGGATCACCAGAGGTCTAATGGACCAGAGGTCTCGTGGATCACCAGAGGTCTAATGGACCAGAGGTCTAGTGGATCAGAGGTCTAGTGGATCAGAGGTCTCGTGGATCAGAGGTCTCGTGGATCAGAGGTCTAGTGGATCAGAGGTCTAGTGGATCAGAGGTCTAGTGGATCAGAGGTCTCGTGGATCACCAGAGGTCTCGTGGATCACCAGAGGTCTCGTGGATCAGAGGTCTCGTGGATCACCAGAGGTCTCGTGGATCAGAGGTCTAGTGGATCAGAGGTCTCGTGGACCAGAGGTCTCGTGGATCAGAGGTCTCGTCGATCAGAGGTCTTGTGGATCAGAGGTCTCGTGGATCAGAGGTCTTGTGGATCAGAGGTCTAGTGGATCAGAGGTCTAGTGGATCAGAGGTCTAGTGGATCAGAGGTCTCGTGGATCAGAGGTCTCGTGGATCACCAGAGGTCTCATGGATCAGAGGTCTCGTGGATCAGAGGTCTCGTGGATAACCAGAGGTCTAATGGACCAGAGGTCTCGTGGATCAGAGGTCTCGTGGATCAGAGGTCTCGTGGATCAGAGGTCTAGTGGATCAGAGGTCTAGTGGATCAGAGGTCTAGTGGATCAGAGGTCTCGTGGATCAGAGGTCTCGTGGATCAGAGGTCTAGTGGATCAGAGGTCTAGTGGATCAGAGGTCTAGTGGATCAGAGGTCTCGTGGATCAGAGGTCTCGTGGATCACCAGAGGTCTCATGGATCAGAGGTCTCGTGGATCAGAGGTCTCGTGGATCACCAGAGGTCTCATGGATCAGAGGTCTCGTGGATCAGAGGTCTCGTGGATAACCAGAGGTCTCGTGGATCAACAGAGGTCTCGTGGATCAGAGGTCTTGTGGATCACCAGAGGTCTAATGGACCAGAGGTCTCGTGGATCAGAGGTCTCGTGGACCAGAGGTCTTGTGGATCAGAGGTCTCGTTGATCAGAGGTTTTGTGGATTAGAGGTCTCGTGGATCAGAGGTCTCGTGGATCAGAGGTCTCGTTGATCAGTGGTCTCACGGATCCGAGGTCTTGTGAATAACCAGAGATACAATTAATAACTAGAGATATTTATGCTTCATTTCACTCACAGCATTTCTGTTGGTGGAACGATAACTTGCTTATAGTTCTCTTAAACACTGCAGATTTGTTCTGCTAACACACACACACACACACACACAATCTGTTATGCAGAAATACTTTTCTCTGCATGTTTGCTGCAAATGCTGGCATCATGTCAAGTGATCTTGTCTACGATCACATCAACACTGCTCTTCGATCAGAGGTCTCGTGGACCAGAGTCACTCACCAGTCCTGGACGGCTCCGAACGACTCCTCGTTGGTGATGTCGTACATGAGGATGAAGCCCATGGCTCCACGATAATATGCTGTAGTGATGGTGCGGTATCTCTCCTGTCCCGCAGTATCCTTAAAAATACACACAAAACAGCTTTGTTAGTTCAGACACTCATTTGAATTCATTACACTTTTTTTGTTATTCAATTCAAATTCAATTCAAGCTTATTTGTAAAGCCCTTTTCACAATACACATCATTTCAAAGCAGCTCTACAGAAAGTCCACATTACAATTTAGAGAGAAATGTTATTAAAGGTAACTCACTGTCTAAGTTATGTATTTCAGAAATGTACATTTAATACAAATGTTTTTACCTGACTTTAGCTAGCATCTTTGCGCAAAGAACAACATAATGACGAAACGGGTTTGTCTGCTGAGGGCCATCGTAGACTAGAAACATGTTGATGCTAGCAGTGTGTGTAAAGAGAAATGCCTCATTCTAAGCTAATAAACAGTTAAACACACAACAGTTCATTAAGTAAGGTCTTTATACACCACTGAAAACATAGTTATGTATATGATATGGCATTTCTGTCAACAGATTAGTTCCGAAGTGTAACTAAACATTACACAATGCACCTTTAATAAATGTTTTATAGGGAACCACAACAGCAAACCAACATTGGGTTAATTTTATTCCATATTATTTAAATAATATTCATACATTATTTCAGAAGGCTTGATGGATGAGAGCAGGAAGTCATTTAACTTCTTATACCAGATTGTTCCCAAATTTAGCAGGGAAAAGAGGAGACCTGCCGGGCGTTACCATGGAGATTGAGCAGTTCAGCAGGATGTATCAATGGCACTGGTTGGGTGGGTGGATGCAATAAAGCAAATTATGGACCCTAAAGGGTAATATTTTACACTTTTATAGCATGCAATTTCTAATATTAAGTTATAATATTAGTCAAGGATTCTTGCAACAAAAATATCTAAATGTAGTTTACAAGACCATTTCCACTTTCTCTCTAGCCTTTGTTATGGATTATTATTAATAAGGCTGTTTATATGTAAATGTGGGCGGTCATATGGTAATGAGCTCATAATGGGCTCAGTTTCAAACCCTCAACATAAAAAGTGTACAAAATGAGCAGAAGGAAAGGAAAATCCCGTGATATTTTTTATTTTATTTTTAAAAGCCTTTTGATAATTACTTTGCACAAAAGGTCACAGAAAGAGCTTAAAAATATTTACACAGAAAATAAGCTACATTAAATGTTTAATGCAAGTGTTGTTCATACGCTGTACAATCAACTTGGATGTTTAAGTCACTTCAACCTAAATTAAATTGACTTTAAAAAAATGTTTTGAATATTGTACAACATAAAAAAGTTGTTTGACTTATTTTGATGAGTTAGAGCAATGTAAAAACATGTTGTCATAACTTATTGATCGTATCATTTTTACAGTGTATACGCAAGAATAATATATAATAGTGTGTGTTGCTGTCTGGGTTATTTCGTTCTGCATTCAACATTTTTATCTTTAGATTAATATGCATTACAGCTGCACAATTAATCATTAAAAGACCGTGATCTTATTCCTAAATGACAGAATTTCGCTTGTGTCTCTTCGACAAAATCTCACCAGAACATTTAAATTTGTGTTAAAAAAATATGTTGAATTTGAAAAAATGTGTATAACATAGGAAACAGCTTTGCAACCACACAGTTTCATTATTTCAATGTTCAGATATAAACCCTGATGGCTACGGAAGCAATTAAAACAGAGCAAAATAACTTGACACATCAAAAAAAGATTGTATAGATTTCATGGTTACACCTTTAGGCGACATGATGTGACTGTTAAAAATGTGTTTGTCATTGAATAATTCATTTAAGAGATTTGATCAAAAATGCTGAATCTTCCGAGTGTGTAATCCACCAGCCGGAAACTGAAGCCATTGGCTAGCAAGCCTTCACCTGCTGTTAGCATCCCATTGACTCCCATTCATTTTGGCGTCACTTTGACTTTACATCTGAGGCGTTTAAAGACTCCATTTATCCATCGTTTATTTCTAAAGAAACTCGACAATGTATACAATGCTCCATTACCTTGTATCTTACGTTACAGTCCCTTAGAAGCCGTTTTTGTAAAAATAGGCCAACGATTGCGTCATAACACACGACTCGATGTCGCACAGAGAAATTACCGTATAGGCAGGAGGAGAAGCTCATGTCAATCGGGGGGATGTGGAGGCATAAAGTCGAGGGAGAAGCTCATAGAGAGTCATAAAGTGTCTCCAGCAGCTCATGGACAGCTCTACTCACGCTCCGTGAGATCCGGAAGGGAATGATTCAGATTCCTCTCGGCACAGATACTAGAAGACGTACAGCTGTCAGACAGGCTCACGTCACATCTCCGCCGTCAAACTCATCAGTGTGAGTCTACACAGTGCGCAATCAGGAAGAGAAGCTTGTCTAAGGGGGTCGCTGTGTCCATTTCATTTACTAGTCCAGTCATTTTATGAAAAAAGGTTGAACAAATTGCAACAGAAGCAAATTATCTCTGCCATAATAATTAATAAAGGCTGGTTTCTAAAGCACTTCTTCCTGCATTAATGTTCATGGGTAGCCTAAATGGGTTCCATTCAGACCTTAACATTAAGTCTTTTACTGTTATATGTCAACAAGAGTCAAAAAAATATTTTCACCTGCTATACCCAATGTTTAGATCTGTTTGGGTAATTATGCAAATTAGCACGTAATTAGATTATGCACCATTTGTCCATGTTAACAAACAATTTCAAAAAAACTTGTAATACATTTTTTGTTTGTCTTGATGTAAGTAATCAACTCAGTGATTTTCATGATGATATCTAAAGGTTAAAATTTCTACCCTATTCACGTGAGAAAAAGAATGAATGGGTGAATGAATGGGATATATTTGGGTCTTTTTCTAAACTTCGCCCTAATGGGATTCTTCTGAGGTTTTTTTCCTTACTCAGGACATATTGAGGATACAAAAACAGTTGAGTTTACTTCTGTTGCAATTTGTTCATGGTTGACCCCCATTTTGGCATAAAATGACTGGACTAACCAGTAATTAAACAAGTGAAGGATTTCCAGAGTTCCCACACCTCAGTTAACTTCAAATTCAAGGACCTTTCAAGGACTTTCCAGGTCCAATACCCTCAAATTCAAGGACATTGTGTAGATCAAATACATTATAAAATATTCCAAATATCTTGAAACTTGCATTTTCCAGGCATCACACTTCAGTGGTTTCAGCTTATTTTTGCAATGTTTCATGGTGTGTCTGCAAAACGTTGAGGTACCATCGTAGTCGTTTTGTGCGCGCGTGAATGTCATGACAACATATACAGTGGTATGAATAAGTTTTGGCACCCATGCTAAAGTTGCCTAAAAAGAGGAATAAAAAAATCATCTTTTGGATATTGATCTTAATGCCTTAATTAGAAAAATGAGGAAAACTCCAACCTTTAAGGACACAAATTTTCTTTGTGAATGAATAATGTATCATAAATAAATAAATGTTTTTCCTTAAAATACAGGGTGCATAAACACAGGGTGCATAAGCCCCACATCATCACACATCTTCCACCACACCTAGAGATTGGCATGGGGTACTTTCCATAAGATCATCTTTCAATGCAAATCAAACCAGCTATTAGGCTAACTGAAATAAAACCATGCCAATCTCTGGGTGTGGTGGAAGGTGTGTGATGATGTGGGGATATATTAATTCCAAAGGCCAAGGGAACTTTATCAGGATGCATATTATCCTGGATCCATGAAATAACTGGCTTTTAAAAATAAAAATCTGCCTGACTCTATGGGAATTTAAAATAGGGGTGTCCTGACTTATGCACCCTGTATTTTAAGGAAAAACATTTATTTATTTATGATACATTATTCATTCACAAAGAAAATTGGTGTCCTTAAAGGTCGGACTTTTCCTAATTTTTCTAATTAAGGCATTAAGATCAATATCCAAAAGATGATTTTTTATTCCTCTTTTTAGGCAACTTTAGCATGGGTGCCAAAACTTGTTCATACCACTGTAACAAAGTACCTCACACTTAACATAACACGTAAATGTCAGTAACTGACATAAATCAAGCAAGCTAATATTCAAGTTTCCCGAAGCGTTGGCGAAATAACACATTAGTGGACCGAAGGGATTTTTTTTCCAGAAAAGCTCTTGCACAAAATAAATTCAAGCGCTTTCAAGGACCTGTATCTATTTTCAAAAACTTTCCAAGGCCTTGAATTTTGTTTTACAGATAACTTTCAATGGTTTCAAGGATCTGTGGGAATGGGTGAGTCATTGAATCATTCCGTGAAGTCAATTTTTAAAAAAAAATTTATTGTATATTACTAAACATTTAATTAAATTAAAAAGAGTGCAGCAATTAATATTTTGTCAGAACCTCTAGTAAATTTCATGTTTTTTGTTTAGTTGTCTGTCAGAATTTACATTTACAATGCATCTTTTTGTTGTCGCTAATAAGACTGCTTAATAGATTCATCATCCATGCGGCGCAGCGATTTTCACTTGATTGTACTGCACACATCAGAAGATTATTATGGAGGCAGAGGAATTCATCAAGAAGTCAATGATGACAGAAGCGATAATGCAAATCAATGATGACAGAAGCGCTCACAGAAGTATAGCTGTTCTGTGCTACGGCACGGTTAGCGATCACACAACGTGTATAAAAAACCCAAACCCAACTGAACAGTACTCAGGCCCACCTCTTTCAAGCGGGCCAGGGACTGTTACGGCATGGGTTAAATCGTCCGGTGTGAGTACACCCTAACTGGCCAATAACACTGCCCTCCAGTGTGAAGTGGACCATGACAAACAGCAAATCCTCAATCCTGCTCTGCCGGTGCTCTTATCTGCCACAGACAGATCCAATGAGCACACACACACACACACACACACAATACAAAAGAGAAGCACACACACATACATAAACACACACAAATAGCCTAAGAGAAGCACACACACACAAACACGCACGCAGAGTGGCCAAAAAATAAAGCATCGTGCTCCATTAGGAGGCTTTATGATGATCTAGAACCGCAAGCAATTATAAAAT